GGTTCCCCCCCCCCCCCCAAGAGCAGAATGGCTTGGACCAGGGGCTGGACTAAGTGTCTTCATAACATCCCTTCAAGCCTTATTTTTCTATAGTTTTTGATTACCTGTTACCATGGTGATGCTGCAAGTCCAGTCTTGGCATAAACTGCTCCCTAGTGGCTATCATGGACTCCCACCTGGTTAGGGAACCTGCCTCATTCAGACTGCAGCAAGTGCATGGGCAGCTCTTAACCTAGAATGCTAGAAATAAGTGCCATGCAGGTGTTAACCATTTTCAACCACTTATTCATACTAAGAGAGATTAAAACTTAAATGATCAAGATGACTCTCTTTTTTTGAAGAAACTTTGCTTCAGCAACTTAAGGACAAGTAGGAAAAAAACCCCTGAATTAAGAATTTGGCATAAATATTAAGGCTTATTTAAGGTAATACTTACTCCATTGCTGATTCATGTCCTTTCTTTGACTATACAGGATGAAGTTAATAGTGGAGAGGCTTCTACAGCACTAGGACAGCTATCCCCAGTGTCTACAGGAGGAATAATAACACCCCCCAAAAGCACAGAAAAGAAGTGAAACCTATAGAAATGACCTACAATGTGAACAACTTCAGAAGCAGAACTGCTTCAGTACAAGCCTACACTAAACCTGAATCTAACCTGCTACTCTATCCTGCCACTCATGATGTGTATGGTAGTAAAAGACAAGTTGAACCAACAGATGGAAATCTGTTTTACAAACTGCAGCTTTTCTGAACTGTTAAACCAGCCATGCCTCTATGCCACACAGGGTGCTGGACTAGATCCCTGCTGATCTAAACTGATACTACAGTAGTAGTGTTCCAAGTTGAACTTATTTTAAATGATGAATTTGTTTAATTATGGATTTCATCAACTCACTTTTGTTGTCCAATAAGCCATTTTCAAAAGTCCTGCCTACTCAGTTTACATGTCAGATTCACTTTCATGGGGGATAGCCATAACGTTATTTTGGATGATGGGAACAGCAGCTTGTACATCATTCCAGGGAGACAGCTTGTACATATTACCTAATGGTGATACGCTTGAAATAGTTGAGTTTCTACTTGATCTCTGCTAATACCATTTTTTTTCCTTGGTGTGTGGTATAAATCTACCAGTTTGTCTAATCCCTACTGGTTAGGGATTACATGGGTCAGGGGCCATGTGGAGTTTACTTAATGCAAAGACTGAATGCATAACTGATTCCAAATGCATTGCAACACTTGGATCAAACCAGTAAACTGGCAGATTAAAATAGCTTTAGGACTAGGGCAGACTGAAAAGATGCTCTAGCAAATTTAGTTTTCAAGCTCCCATCTATCTTTGACCTCAGGTAAATGTACAGCTAAAAATATTGCTGCTGAAATAACTTTAACTGGAATAGTTCTTGAAGGAAAAAAATCTACTTGATGACAGCAAGACTGACTCAAAAATAGACATTTAGCTAGAACTGGAGTAGGTATATAAAGAGTATACCTGGCTCATTAATATTCTGCAACCACTCGGAAAATACAAGTATTGGGAAGAAAAATACTATGTACTGTAGAGTTATGTCTTATCAGTGTTTAAACAGCATTAACTACTGTATGCTCCTTTTGAATATTCAACTACCTCAGCTCATGAGGTGCTTAACTTTTGTTCTATAAAGGGACAGTATCTAGCAAAGGAGTTTCTCAAAATGGAGGAATAATGACAACCACAGTAGGGGTGCAGTAGTGGATCAACTACAAAGTTGATGTAGACCAAGCGGAACACTTCCTAGTGTGTAAAGCTATACTTACTGCCATGGTGTGCAAAATTGCTTCTATGAACACTTAAGTTGTATTAAGATCTAATATTGCCTTACCCAACTTCATTGCTTCTTCAAATAAATTGTTTAAAAAAAAAGCATTGTGAAATTAACTAAGTTTTCAACCTTCTGTATAGTTTTGTAAAATAAGGGTTTTTATTGTAAGATTTCATATCTAAAAAGGAAAGAGCACAGTCTGTAAATATTGTATAAAAATTTTAAATACTCTTAACAAATGAGTAAAAAATAAAAGTGTTGAAGTTTTCCATTCTACACCCTCCTATTCTTTTAGCATTAGACTAAAAGTAAAGTTTTGCCATTGCTTGAAGAAACTTCTTTTTTCGTCTCTGTGCAGCAAGTTGTAATACTTCCTCTGGATTGCTAGCATTCAGTTCTGTCTGGCCAATAGCTTTAATCTTTAAAAACAAATGAGAGAGGACCAAGAATGAACTCTTGCTAGTAATGCTGACTTTTTTTTTTTTTTTTTAGAAGCAGGATATCATGTTACATGACAGTCTGCATTATCACCCTAGTCATCACTACTCAACTACAAAAGTGAACTTTGCTATAACTGCACACCCATGGGACACTTGCTTTTACGGATTTTTAGTCCTCTACTATGCATTTGGGTGAAGACAACACCTCTCAACCACAACAAGAATAGCTTGAACTTACTGCTATCTGTCTCTTGTCTGTCTCTCCTCTCTTATGGTGGAGATCTGAAGGAGAGTCAAGAAAAGGAAGTACTTGTGCATACATGCATCACAGCTAGGGTAGTTCCTAGAGCCAATTTCCAAAATACCCAATCAAAATGCAAGGACAATTTTGTATTAGATTTAGGTACAAGTATTTTCAGGAAAGCAAACCTTTCCTAGACAAGTCAGTCACACCACACTGCATGTTTCTTAAAGATCTCCCTTCACCCCCATCATCTGGACCCCTGAAGAGTGAAGTGACACTCATTTTCAGCTTGTTAATATGAAATTCACAACCAGTCGTGCCAATGATAAAGCAGTATTTTTTTTTTAAATCTATATATCCCTATCAGCTGGTTTGTATCAATTCTTTCTAATCCAAAGGATACATGTCAAATATTCCAAAATGGTGACATCCCAGATGTACTCATAGTAGGAATCCATGGCATCATGGCTGAAAAGCAGAATATCAAATACCTCCATATTATATCTAAAAGTGTAAAGATATTAAGTGCATATTTTAGTAAATAAAATGCTTACCTATTTTGTTCCTGTAATGCTTTAAATGCTGTTTTATAGTCTATTTCTCTGAGGAACTGGCATAAAATTGCCACCTGTAAGAGAGAACATTTAGTCCAATAATTCTTAACCTTATTAGACTAGAGGTATCCCTTGGGTTTGAGGCACCCCTCAGGCAATGCCAGCTCCTAAGTTTTCACTTTTTTTTCCTTTTACTACAGGACAGTAACTGAGTTCTTTGCAACAGAAGAATTACTCTAAGACCACAACAGGGCACAACTTTATTTTAATTTTTTTTTTTTTTTTTTTTTTTACACAAGTTTTTTTAAACTTGAACTTGGGAAGGGAATATGGAACTTCTCTAACCAGAGAGGGTTGATTTAATCACAGAACAGTTCTTCTACCACCAGAAGTGGTAATTTGCCTTCTCTAAGAATCTGAGACTAGTGGGTTCCTATCCTCAGTCTGGCTGACAATTCCTTCCCTTTTAGTAAGACACTTGTGGGACAGACCTGGCCCAAATCCCTAACATGTAACTGACCAAACTGGACTGCCAAGTGCAGAGAGTCAACTCTGGCAAGAACTACCTCTCTACAGCTTGACACTGTTCTGGTTACGTGCATAGCCTTGGGGCTGAAAAGAGGCTATGCACTTACCTAAAGTAGGGTTGTAGCCATGTTGGTCTAAGGACATAGGCAGACAAGGTTCTTTGAGCAGCTGTGGTATCTTTTACTAGACCAATTAAGTTGTCCTTTGCACACTCTGGGGCACAAATACCCTTCTTCATGCATATAGACTGTGAGATCTGGACAGAACAGAAGCCAAAATGCAGCTCTGTGAAAATTCAAATGTGTGGCAGTGAGACTCAGAGGGGTAGAAGACAATAGGTGTAAGAAGGTTGGGGATAGTGAAAGGGAAATGTTGAACTGGTGGTAGAAGAATGCAGCAGGTAAAATGCAGACAAGTTACCTAGGTTTCTCAGATATCAGGTAGGTTATAATGTGCCATAAATCCAATGTCTGCATTTAGTTCATTATTTTTTTGTATCCAGTAGGTTGCTGAAGTAGAGTTCATAAGCTCCTCTGTGAAAGGTGTTTTGTAAATTCTCTTTGAGGATCAGAACTGAGAGATTAGCGAGAGAGAGCAGAGTGAGTCTTGTGAGAAGTGTGCACCCACAGGTGATTGGGTATTTTTGTCTTTGACAGATTTTTTTGGTGTGTGTTCATTCTGCTGTGCAGTTGTTTGGTTTTTTCTATGTATTGTCCATTGGGGCACTTGGTGCATTGGATGAGATGTATTGCATTTCCGGAGATACAGGTGTATGAGTCAGGTGATCGTTCTGTTGAGAGGTGCAGTTATTGTGGGGGGGGGGGTGGAGATGTCAGCAGGTTTTATGTTTTTTGTTCTGGCATGGTCTGGATCCATTTAGTATGCTTTGGGCGATAGGAAGTTTGCTTCTGATAAGGTTGGAGAGGTTCAGTGCTTGTTTAAAGGCTAGATTGGTGGTTTTGGAAAGACCTCTTTAAGAACTGGGTCTTCTTCTAATATGGGTTTCAATTATTTGAGGATGTTCTGTGCACATTCCAGAGAAGGATGATTTGTCAAAATCAACGATATGTGATTTGTGGGGATTTTCTTTCTGTACTGCAGTACTTACGTGATATCCAGGTGGCTCTTTCAAATATATGATCTTTCTCACTGGAGAAGCGTCCTTATTGGGTGAAAGCCCTTTTGAGATTACCTGCAACTGTCACCTCTCTATTCTTCTCAGTGAAGGTTCAGTGGTATCCGAGGGCTTGGCTTTATATTACAGCTTTCTTGGTGTGTTTAGGTTGATTGCTGGGTTTCTTGTATATGGTGGTTTTTATTTTACCATTCTGGATAGTCTGAGAGAGGGGTGATGGTTACTGAATTTGTGATGGAAATCAATCAGCACCAACATTTCCTTTTTAGACATTATGATCAATATCCAGAATGGTAAAATACAAACCACCACATACAAGAAACCCATGGACCAACTTACATATCTACGCAGAATCAGCAGTCGCCCTAAAGAACCTTGTCTGAGCAAGACAAGAACCTTGTTTCACACACATCTACCCAAAATGTCTGCCTACTCACATAAAACAGGCACTTATCTGGCAATATAAACAGTGCTCCTTATTCATGCAGCCCTAAGATTAGCTCCAGCTTCTAATAACAGTCCTTTGACAGCTGCTTCCCCTTCACCATCTCTAGGCAGTGAGCTGGAGTAAAGTTATGTTAGATAGCAGACAGCAGGGCTGAATAATACCATGTACTTCAAGCAAAGCAGGTGTAGCACATATCATATTTTCTCAACTATAAACACACCCCCTGACTAGATTTCCATAGACATTTTGGCTGGAAAGGACCCCGGAGGATAATCGAATCCAGTCCCCTGCCCCAGGGGCAGGAAGTCAGCAGGGATCATAGGATCCCAGCAAGATAAACATCCAAATGTGTCTTGAAGGCGTTCAAAGTGGGTGCTTGAACTGCCTCCAGTGGCAGTCTATTCCAAATCCTGGGGGGCTCGGACTGTGAAGTTCCTTCTTATGTCCGGCCTGAAATGGCCACGGAGGAGTTTGTGACCGTTCGATCTCATCATCCCTTGAAGGGCTCTGGTGAACAGACCTTCCCTCAGATCCTGGTGAGCACCCCTGATAAACTTATAGGTGGCCATCAGATCACCCCTGAGCCTGCACTTTTCCAGGCTGAAGACTCCCATGGCTCTCAGCCTCTCTTCATAAGGTCTGTTATCCTGACCTCTGATCATGTGCGTGGCTCTTCTCTGCACTCTCTCAAGCTTCTCCACATCCCTTTTGAATTGTGGAGTCCAAAACTGGATGCAGTACTCCAGCTGCGGCCTCACCAAGGCCAAGTACAACAGGAGAATGAAGTCCTGGGACTTGCTTGAGAAGCATCTATGGATGCAAGCCAGCATTTTGCTCGCTTTACTAGCCACAGTATCACATTGAAGGCTCATGTTCATCTTGTGGTCAACCATGACCCCCAAGTCCCTTTCATCTGTAGTGCTAACCAGTGTAGCACTACCAAGCCTATTAGCATGCTGCAGGTTTTTCCTCCCACGGTGGAGGTCCTGGCATTATTTGGTGTTGAGCACCATCAGGTTCTCGTCCGCCCATTTCATGAGCCTGTCAAGATCTACGTGGATCACCCTCCTGTCTCAGGTGTGGATGCTTTACCCCAGAGTTTGATATCATCGGCAAACTTGAAGTCAAGATATATGACATCAATCTCTTCCCCCTTGTCCAGGTGATAGGTCACCTGGTCATAAAAGGAAATGAGATTGGTCAAGCAAGACCTGCCCGCAGCAAAGCCATGCTGGCTATCCCTCAGGATGTTGCTGTCAGCCAGTCTGTTAAGAATGGTGTTGTCGGCAAGTTTGGTGTCATCAGCAAACTTGGCCAGTCCGCTTCCGACACCGATGTCCACATCACTGATGAAGATGTTAAATGGTACAGGCCCTAGGACAGAGTCTTGTGGGACCCCTCTGGTCACAGTGCACCAAGACGATTGGCTCCCGTCGACTATAAATGACACAGTCTTATTTTTGGACTGCCCAGAGTCTAGGGTCTCCAAGGCTGGGGACTATGCACCTGATTCAACATGCCATGTAGCAGGGCTGGCCTAATCCAGCTTAGAGGCTCCAAGGCTGTACTGGGTCCCAGACTTCAATCACTGGCTGTGGAGCCACATGCTGGGCCCTGAGCTGTAAGCTGGGTTAGACCCAGTGCACTGAGTGCAGCTGCAGATCAATCATTCACACAGTTCTGATCCAGTGGTAGGGGTTGGGGAGAGTGGTGGCAGCATTAAAATTGCCACTGCCACCACCCTGCGCCACCAAATTTCCTGAGAAGGAGTCTTCTTCCCTCACATATCTGTACCCCCATTTTCCCCAGTTGATTTTGGGGAAAAAGAGAAGTGGGTATATGGTAGCTTTTTCCACAGATAAGCAACAGCAACAAGTTGGCAGTGGCACTATGACTGTTATGCAGTTCAGTTAATTATGCCTTTACACAGTAAGAACGTGTATGCACAAGTGGAACATGTTGTACTTAGTTTCTATATCAGCCCTTGTTCTTTGAGGGGAGGGAGTGGTAGGTTTTTTTTGCTTTTTGTTTTGTTTTTTTTTGAGGAACTGGGAGTATAAGGAGCTCTGAATTTAAATAAAAGAACATAAAAACTGGGCAGGGTATTTTTTTCTCAGTAAGCTTCAGTCAACATCAGCGTTTTTACTGCTCCTTTGGAGGCTCTACCACTACATTCTGATTGCAGAGTTATGAACCCAGAGCAGCTTTTACGTTGACACCTTGATTTTGAAGACAAAGTTTGCTCTCTCCTTGTCAGAATGTTTGACTTAAAAACAAATAGGTCTATATGAGGCTGGTGCCTGATTACTCTCTTACCTGGGTATGGCAGTTGAGCAAAGAGCAGCATTTTATCATTCTTTTTATCACCTAAGATACAAAAAAAAAAATGCAGAGGACAATTATGACATAGCTCCCAGAATCTAATGTTTACATTAAGCACATAATGACAACTTATCCTTGAAGAACTGGAGAACAGCATATATTATCTGCAAGATGCACCCCCCCTCATATACTAAGTACTTGCTTTGCAGTGCATCAAAACATTCTAGCCATATTTTAGAAGATCCCTGCCCCAAAATAGGTTGCTCCTTAGATCCATGGAACCCTTAAACAACCTAATCTCACATAAAGTGATGTGAAAAACATGGCTTTTCTGTTGTAGAAGTGATAGCAGGACTATGATAACCTAGCCCTGGCTCCCTGTCTAACCCCCCATACCCTTAAACTAAAATTAACTATTTGCTTGTCTCAATACATGTATGGACCCAGCTGGCTTCTAAATCTCCAAACCAGGGAAAATTTAATCACTCTCCTTTAGGTCCAGGTGGGTCATGGCAAAGCCATGATCTCCTACTGCAGTGGTTCTCAACCTTTTTAGACCCAAGGTATCCCTCAGAAAATGCCAGCTTAGTTTTCACTTGTTCTTTGATTCCAGAAAAATAAGAGAGCAATTCTTCTGTTGCAAAGAACTGGGTAAGACCATATTGGGTCAGAACATATGATGCTATGAATTCCTTATTTGAAATCTGTGTTTATCTTGCAAGTTATCTGTAGGTGTTTGCACACCTAACAGTGTGCAAATCACGGGCACCATTAAAAGGATCTCAAGGCACCTCAGGGTGCTGCAGAACCCTAGCCAAGAATCACCTGTTCTACTGACTACAGTGACTGACAGGCAGTTCCCCCACTGCTCCTTATCACAATTCTATAAACAGTCTTATGATTAACATCTGAAATACTGGAACACTAAAGACAAGTCAACAGAGGAGACCAGGCTGAAGTTGCATAAACAACAGGGCTTTGCAAAACGGCACCGTTCTGTTTCGACATTACAACGGAACAGCATTTAGTTTCTATTCAAAACCGCTATTCTGTTTCGTTTAGTCGAAACATTTTCGCTGTTTCGACGTTTTGCCCATAGGCCATAATGGGGAATCTCGAAACAGCCTGTAACTGTCATTTCTGGCCTGATGTGGATGAAACTTGCAGAAACAGTAGCCCCTGCTGAGGTCACGAAGCCTGCCAAGTTTCAAGGAGACAGGTGCAGGGGCTTCTGGGGCCCTGCACCTTTAGCTGCTGACAGGCAAAACTCGTGACATGGGTGGGTGACTGTGTGTGTGTTAAGGTGTGCCCTCACTCAACTGACACCAAGGCAGAAAGCAGGGCAGTTCAAACAATGCTGCCTTTTATGCAGTTTTTCCATCCCTCCCCCAGAGCACTGGGGTTGGAAGGGACCTCAGGAAAGGATGACAGTCAATAATGAGAGCACTCCTGCCCCCACCCTTCCCCCTCCCTCTCCCTACTTTAGTTTGTTTCCCTGCAGGCAAGCCCACCTTGAGCTTCGAAACTCGAAATGTTTTGAAGATTTCAAAATGTTTCAACTTGCCTCATTTCATTTCAAAGCTGTTTCCAAGCTCTTCATTTTGATTTCGCTGTTTTGAGCTCGAAACAAGTTGAAATGAAACTGCAGGCGAAATGTCACACAGCCCTAATAGACAGGGGATTCAGCACTTCACAAGAATTTTCTATGGCACTGAATGAAAAAGTTCCTTCTCACATAGCCAAAGCAGACTCAACTCTTTTTCCAGGGTACACCATAGAAAGGGTAACTATTTGCTACAATAAATATAATGCAGGTGAAATGCTATGGGGCCTTTGTGCTGAGAAGACCTAGGCTTTGGAACACCTTCCCCAAAGGTCACCGGTAAAGGTTCCTTAAACTCAACACATTTAGGCCAGGCGGAAGGACACCTTTGTTCACCTGAGCACTCCCCAGCGAGATGAAAAATCTAATTGTGCCGAAAGGCAGCAGCCAACTGTAACATGGAGCCCAGTTCCAGGGAATCAACTTTTCCCTGTACACCTATTTACTCCAGCGATTCTCAACCAGGGTACCGCAGTACGCCCCTGAAAGAGGAGACATGTGGCGAGAAGCACAACTCCCGCACAAACCACCCTTATGCTCTGAGCAGCATGCTCCTTGCTCAGCCCAACTCCCTCCTCTGTTCCTCCTGTGCTCTCAGGGCTGATGGGAGAGGCTGCAAGTGGTGGCTCTAGGCACTGGCATTGAAGTCCCCAAAGTGCATGTAGGGGGCAGACCATGGAAAGTGCAGACACAGAAGAGTTCTGTCCCTGTCACCAGTGGCCACTGGTACCCCCTTCTGCCTCCTTCAGGGGTCTAATGACCCATCCCCCTGAAGCTCCCCACCCACTTTGCTCTCATGGGATGGCAGGGTGGGCAGGGCATCCTTGCAATCTCTTTAAAGGTACCAGAAGGTGCAGGAAGGTAAGCACTTTAAGCAATTAATTAGTCTTTAAATGGGGTGCCACTACATTTTGAGAAGTTATCAAAGGGTGCCTTGAGTCTTAAAAGGTTGAGAACCACTGATATATACAATCCACACCCAGGATTAAGCAGCTACAGAAGAGATCCCATCACCACTAGATCTTGGTTCACACTTTATTTCAACATAACACATCTACATATGGTTAAGGTTTGCTTAACTGTTCTCAAAATTCTACTCAGGGACATACAAATCCAAGAACATTCAATACTTTCTCCATCAGGAGTCTGAATGCTGACTCCTCCTTTGACTTGTACTCAACAAAAAAAAGTGTCTGTGTTGAGGGAACTTTTGAGCTTCAAACAGCAGAGGAAATAGATTGGTCTATGTTAATTAAGACAGTTACAGCTAGCTATTTCAAAAGATACATGTACAGACACATTCACACAATCTGTGTATGACGGATCATAGGAAAGCAGGGCTGGAAGTGACCTCACAAGGTCATCTAGTCTAGCTCCTGCTCAAGGCAGGATCATCTCGGACTAAACCTAAGATTCCTGACTAAACCATAACAACTTATGTAGTCAGTAGGGATGCACTGATAAAGATTCTTTGGGCTGATGCTAATAGCCAATTATTAACGAGTCATATTGGCTGATACTGCTTCGACTGCCGATATGCAGCCTGGCAGCTTGGGGAGCAGCATCTGGCTGGTAAGTCTGTTGCAGGGGGAGGGGATAAGATCGAGGTCCCTGTGGTGAGCGAGGATGAGGGGCTGGGATGGAGCCATGAGTGACTAGTTCAAGCATAGGCAGCTCCTGCTGCTGCATGCACCCCTGGGGGAGTCATGGGGGGCCACGTACCCCCCAGATCTGTACGCAGGGAGAGGACAGGCTGCTGCTGCAGGCAGTACAGGCTCTTCCTGGGTGGTGATGGGAGTTGAGGGGGGGAGGGGTGGCAGGAGGTGGGGTTATGGGGTGGTCGCCCCCCTCCCAGCACCACCACCACCCACTCCAAGTGCATACCCGGCCCAGCACCCACACCAGGAAGAGCCTGGCACCGCCCCCAACCCCAGCCTGTAGCAGCAGCACCCCCTTGCTCCATGCCCAGATTGCGGGGAGGCATGTACCCCCCTGTGCCTCCCAGACGAGCTGCTCATGGCTTCATACCATGCCTCAGCCCCACTCCCTCCCTCACCACAGGGGCCTCAATCTGCCTCCCCCCTTTCCTTCCTGGGTCCGCCCCCCACAACAGACTTACCAGCCAGACGCTGCTCTCAAAGGTGCTGGGCGGGTGGCATGCATGCTGTGACTGCGCATGTAAGCAGCATTTAACATTGGTCACGTCAGCCAAAAAAAAAAAGAAGAGTACCAATAATGTCAATTTTCCTTTTATCAGTGCTGATACAATATGGACTGCTGTATCAATGCACCTCTAGTGATCAGGCGAGACCCCATCTCCTAGCAGTGTCCAGTTGTACATGATGTTTTAACACAGTAAGCATCTAAATCCAAGCATAAATTCACCTGGTCTGTGAATACATCAGGTGGTACCATTTTATTGAAGAAATCGGAGCACACTGCTCCTGCCTGAAGGTAATAATGTAGAGCCGCTGAATACTGATTTGTTGCTATAGTGGGGAAAAAAAGAGAACCAGAGTAAAATCAGAAATGAAATCTAGTAATTTCAACGTAATGACTTGCAGGGTTTAGAAGATTATTCACATAGACAAATGGTGACAAACCAAAGTTTACTGTAAATTAATTCTACTTGGAAGAGGATTTGTTTTATTGATGTATCAAAGTATGCACCACAGGGCTGCATGTGGCAAGACACACTGTTCTGAGGACCTGATGCACCTGCGAGGTAGGCTGTCTCTCCATGGGAAATCTTCATGGGTCTAGCAGCTGCACCCATAAGCATGCTAGGCTGCGTCATGCAGGCTGCCTCTTCAACTGGCAGCAGGACAGCCATGTTCATGCACTGCTGCAAGTGGACTGATTAGTATGGTCTGCAGGGAGCAGCATAACATGCCAGAGGCACAGCCTGGGAGCATGGTCAGCATACTGGTAGATAGGTGCTCCCCAGCCCACCAGCAAACAAAGGACTTGTTCTGATGGGCTTTGGGAGATCAAAAAGATCAGTTCAGTTCTAACCTCTTTGTCTGCCAACATCAGAGAAACTTACCTGCTTTACTAAGTGAGTCCTCTGCCACACCCTGGGCTTCCAAATTGAAAGCACAACATGCCGCTCCCTGAACTGGAAGGCCAGCCAGGAAATGTCACCACAGATTCAGAACTCAAACATTTTGCTTTTTACCACAAGCTACATCCAGGCACATGGAATAAAGCAGAGAGACTTAGCAAAGAAGTTAGAAGCTGCATGGCAGGCTGGTGCCCTTGCATAAGCTTTACAGCATCCAGAGCAAGTCAAGTGGCAGCTCAGGTACAGGGGTGAAAACAAGAATATAAAGCTGGAAATCAGGCTACTGCTTTTGGACTTCGGTAACCTGTTCATAGTAAAGAATGTATGGCCTCAATGATGCCTCCCACACAAGAGCTTCAAGAAAATCTTACAAGCATCTCTCTGCACTAATTCAGTTCAAACTAATCAGTCTGCTGCAAAAGTGCAGAACAGCAGAGAAAAAAGGGCAAAACACTGCAGCTGAATTAATACATTTAGATCTTCCATCGCTGTTCCACAACGTTATTTACTCACCTAACAGATTGGGACACTGGTTCTAGGATGACACACAGCTGCCCTCCTGATTACGCCAGTTTTGAGCAGCTAAGGGCATTGCCCTAGCTTCCAAAGAATTTCTCAGCTACTTGTGATTTGGGACTTAGAAGGCAGTGAAATGCAAACACACCCTTGCTCAGTTGTAGGTACTTTGGCATTTGCAAGATTCAGCCACGTTTCTGCCAGTAGGCATGTGAACAGCCATGTGATCCTGACACCACCCACCAGTAGGACTCTGCCTTCATGTGGGGATGCAATCCATTAGCAACACCTACCTGATCAGGCCTTATACAAAAGACAACTGGAAATAAGATTAGGATGAGGGGAGGAAGATCAGGGGGGTTGGACAGCATAACATTTACATTCATTACTTATTAAGTGACAGCCCTAGGTCTACCCCATGCTCTAGCCCTGAGTTGACCCAATTTGAATCCCCACTCTGTGCACTGAGTAAAGATTTTAAATCAAGGTTTCTCAATATTGTAGCATGGTGATTAGAACACTATCCTATCAGGTCATCTGGGATGAACCTCTGAGTCATCCTGCTGAAGCATTCATCCTTTGTATAACTAGATAAATACTGGAGCAGAGCTCTGAGCTCCCACATCCCAAACTACTAGACTCTAAAAGACATCTCTGGTCCAATGAATATTCCAGAAAGTGGAATACCTTTCAACAGGAGAGACCCTTCAGTGCTCTACAATATGGGAAAAGTTGGGCAATTAGATACTCTGGTGAGATGTAGAATGTTGGGGTTCACAGCTCTGCTCCATATCAGAATGGGGATTTGAAAACTAGTCTCCTACCTCCCAGCTGAGTGCCCTTACTACTGGATTATTAGCAAGAGAGTCCACATCTGGGTTTTTTGGTGGGAAAGGGCTGGATGAGGATTCATGGCAGAGAATTCCAAGCAGAGGGAATGACCTTCGTAAAGCTCAACCTTGTCAACATTTCTTCCTAGGTAGCTTAACCGGCCCCCTGATCATCCTGCTGGCTTCTCAGGATCTTGTTCTTAGATGTTTAGTGCCACATACTCATCTTGAGGACACTAAGCAAAAAAGGGATGATAGGAGTAGCGTCAAGGCAGCTTTCCCTTCCAAGCCTCTGGACCACATGCAGACAAGCTACTTCAGCTAATATCTGAACCTCTAAAAGCAGTGCTCATTCACTGCAGGGAGCACCCAGGATCCATAAAACACTAAATCCTCTCTGGTCTGGTAATGCCTTAGCCAAATAAGAACCACTGAAGCCGAGTACCATGCTGCTTAACAGATTAGGACGCTGGTTCTAGAATGACATTTGACTGATGCCCTCCTAACTACTCCCATTTTGGGCAGCCAGGGGCACTGCCCTAGCTTCCAAAGAAGAATTCCATTTTTGTCTTCCGCTCCTCCTATCACAATCTAGCTGGCAAACAGCAGGCTAACTGGGGTCACAAAAGTCATTCTTAAAGCCATATTCCAGACTAGGCAGGGAGTTACTCACTATAAGCCTACTATGCACCTGGCCTCAGAAGAACTATGTTTATTTTCTATGACACCTGAATACAAATGTTTACTCATTTCTACAGATAGGTGGAAACATTAAGAACTGGCTCACTCAGGGTTTCCCTTAGTACTGAAGATCTGCAACTAAAATTACTTACGTCTGTTTGTATTATGCTGCCCCCCCCCTCCAATCTTAGGTAAAAGTCTGAATAATCTTATGAAGTCTCACTCACTTCAATGGAGCACAGGACAGGGATAGGGGAGGAGAATCAGAGGTCTGTTCATGCCAAACCACTTTTATGACTGCATCCAAAGACCTAACTGTTTGGAAAAGCTCTGTATAAGTTTCTTTTGATAAACAGATTAGTAAAGTTTATCACTCCCCTCCAGACTTTGTTCAAGACACACATGGACAAGTAAGTCTAAAGGCAAAAGCACGGTGCACATGCCCATGCCCATACCTGCTGCCTAAAGGGATGTCAGAAGCACTTACCAAAATAAATATCTGCCTGGATAATTAGCCAGAAGTGGTTGTTTGCATTTATAGTCAGCGCATAATTGACCAGCTCTTTTACTGTAACAGCTACCGCTTCAAAATCCACCGATTGGAGGCTACAGAAAGAAGTATATGGATCATATTAATACTGTATTTAAACAAAACAACCTAGTTTCAAATCTCATTTTAAAAACAAATTTATGTTACATGTCAATAAAACTGAAAGATAAAAAGAAACCACAATAAAAGATTTACCCCAGTTTAAGTGTTAACTTTATGTTACCCCTATTCGTCTGCTGTAATGAGCCATAGCAGGTACATCAAGTACAGATTTAGGACAAAAATATAGAGCAGCATCTGTGACTGACATTATGAGAGCCTCCAAGAGGGCTGGCTGGTCCTTGTCTCGGGTCTCATTGTAAGAAGCTGGACAAGATGCATTTTAAATCAATACTGCTTCAGATTCACCCTAAGACCTGTCTGAGCAGTTCCAGATGACAACCTCCTGAGACAGAAAGTGCCCCAAACTGACTGGAATGGGAATATGCAGAGACTTAAGTGCATCTCTTCAACAGCCTCTGCTAGTGGAGCTTGAAGGGATTACATGAGAGGGATTAAACCCCTCACTGCCCCAGGTGAACAAACCTGCCTTTACGATTTGGAGACATCCTTTGAATCACTGCACCACACCTGGGCCCAATGATTTTCACATGCCAATATACAGCGGCTGTCAAGCACAGTTCAACAGCCTTCATCAAAAAGGAGCAGCAACAGGGAACTATTTGTGGCAAGATCTGATTTGCTGCTGACTTAGGAAGGAGCCTGTGTGGGTCAGTTTGCTTGTCTCTAGATAGTGTAAATAATCCTGCATTTGCTCAAATATAAAATAACCCTGAATACAAGACAACGTCCCAATTATTAGATTATATTTATGCAAAATGTATACATTTGCTATGATGTTCCACGTGTAGACTCTAAGTATTGAAGAGATGTCTCAAATCCCACCCTTGCACTGCTATAGCTGTGGGGTGGGAGGGGTCAGGTAGTTCCCTTGCTTTGTTTCACCCACATTTTTCCCCCTGTAGCTTTCCTGCCCCCTTGCTACATGCACCCCCTACTCCCAGCTCCATATAGCCTCTGCCCCTTCCAGTCTCTGCCTCTTCCCTTCTTCCCCCTCCACCCCAGTTTTTACCTCCTCACTGCTCCCCGTCTCTGCTCCTTCCTCTCTCCTGCTCCATCCCAAAGCTCAATGTGTGGAAGCTCAGCCCTTGCCTGGCCATGTAGCAGTGTTGATGCTGATGACTGGCTGGGTCAAGGGAACGTGTTTCCATGTGCACTGTGCCCATGAGAGACCCTAGCCCCAGCAGTGCAGGAGACAAGCTGCATCTGAGTAAGGGGGAGGGATAGAGCGGGGAGCAGAAGCTGCAGAGGGAAAGCAGAGAAGGGGCAGGAGACTACAGTGGATATGACTCTGGCCCTGACCTGAACTCAGGGTCAGGAGTTGGAGCGGCAGCAGCTGCCTGTTCCCCCGCTTTGCTTCCCATGCAAATACGAGGGGCTCCCCCATCACTGCTGACTGGAGGAAAAAATCTTGTCTTATATTTGAGTAAATCTGGTCGTTTTTCTTAGAAATTGAGTAAACGTGGTCATACACTTGGGTCCCAGCTCCAGTGCGAGACAGACAGGTGAAAGCCTGTTGCATCCCTGTGAGCCCAGGGACCCTCCCCCCCCCAAGAGACCCCAGGACCCCCAACGGGCCCCAATCTGCCCACAGTTAAGCAGGGGCCCATGGTAGGAGGGATGTAGCCCAGCAGGGAGGCAGCTGAGTGGACCTGAGGACGGTCAGGTCCCACCCTCGCCCTGCTCCTACTTCGCCCAGCCTCCCAGGGAGCCATGCGACCGGAGCCTCACGAACAGGATGCGCAAACAGGCACGCTTCTGGGTCCGGTGCATGAGTTTGCATAGAAGGGTGTGCAGGAGGCCCCGAGGCCCTGCCAGTGAGTCCCAGGGAAGGTAGTCCCATCAGTAGCTGGCCTACCAGCAGCACAATGCGGATGGGCAGACACTGTACCCCGAAGATCCCCTTGGAGTCTGCAGCCTCCCCCTCTGCACCTCAGAGGTCTCCATCCAGATGGAGCCCATGGTTCTGGGCTCCACACAGACTGAGCCCCTGGCTTTTGGCTGCAGGGGGCTGCCTGACACCTTTCTAGGCTAGTAGGACTGGGAGCATGGCCACCTCCCCTTGCAAGGTTTGCTCCACTTTGGAGTCTCTGGGGCACAAGATGGAGGAGCTCCAGGCTGCAGTCCAGAGACTGTGTGCCATCAGGGATGGTAAGCAGGAGACAGACTCCTACTGCCAGGCCCTTCACCCCCTGGAGGCGGAGGGTAGACCAAGGTCACCTTCCAGGACAAGGGAGGACTTGGGAATCTCCCATACTGTCCAGCCAGGGGGTTGGACCAAGGTGGTCAAGGGCCTCAAGGCCCACCACACAAAGGTCCCCGCCCTGCTGGGACTTTGCAACAGGTACGACCCTCTTGCAGCCCCAGTAGAGCCTGCAGAGATGCCAGCTCCTGCAGGCAAGGGCGGATCACCCACCCCTACTTTCCCTAAGATAAAACGCAGAGTGGTTGTTGTGGGAGACTCCCTCCTGAGGGGGACTGAGGGAGCCACCTGCCACCCCGGCCCCCTAGCCCGGGAGGTCTGCTACTTCTGGGGGGGGGGCAACATCAAGGACATAAAAAGAGTATCTGGCTGTCCAACCGCTACCCTATGCTCCTTAACCATGTGGGCACGAACGACACAGCTCGGAGCAATCCCAGGCAGGTCATTAGAGACTACAGGGCTCTGGGAGTGGCGCTTAGGGGATTGGGGGTGCAGGTGGTTTTTTCCTCGCTCCTCCCAGTTGTGGGTCACGGGCTGAGGAGGGAAGAGACGGGTTGAGGCAGTCAACCAAAGACTGTGACGCTGGTGTCATTGTGAAGGTTCTGGCTTCCATGATCAGTCTGCTCTTTGGTGAGAGAGGCAGTGATCTGCTGGTGAGAGATCGCCTCTACCTCACTCTGTTGGGGAGGAGGCTCTTTTCAGCCAGACTGGCTGACCTGCTCGACCGGGCTTTAAACTAAGCCTGCCAGGGGATGTGGGGATTAACACCACTGCAAGCCCACTGGGCAATCTTTCTAAATCCAGCAGGCTAAGGCACTTAAGGGAATCCACCCCTACCCTAGCCCTGGAACGATCTGTAGGGAAGGCAGGGGCCCCCAGTGGGACATAGCTGGAGTATTGTGTCCAGTTCTGTGCGCCCCATTTCAAGAGGGATGTGGACAACATGGAGAGGGTCCAGAGGAGGGCCACCCGCATGATCCGGGGACAACAGGGCAGACCCTACAGTGAGAGACTGCGGGACCTGAACCTATTCAGCCTCCACAAGAGAAGGCTGAGGGGGGACCTGGTGAC